TTTTCAATGGGAAAATAAGGAAATGCAAAATCGCAGGTTCAATTTGTCGAATTTTAATGTTGCTTTAGAAGTTAGAGTAAACGAAATCATAAGGATTATTAAGCTACCATGACGCGTAGGTCATAATAATATATATTATGACCTATATATACATAATATATATAGGTCATAATAATATCTATAAATTTTTCTAATATACTTAATTATATGTAGGTATTTGATAAATGAATCTGTGAAATGTTTGATGTTATCAGATTATTATGCGATTCAAATAAGAATAGGAAAGCCAATGACCTCCATCTGTCAAAAGTCGCTTGAAAAGTACGGTTTGCAAAAAAATAAAATAAACACTTTCTTAACACTTGTAAGCAAACAATAACAAATATTGATAAATAATATTGGTTGATATTTTTTTTCATATATTGAGCTTTGGTTAAGAATGTTTGTTATCCTAAATCGTCAACCAAATGTCATTTTAAGTTGCGTTCAGGAACTCGATTTAAAACTTTCGTTTACATAAAGGATGCATGTTCGTATGTGACTTAGTAATTGTGCATGATTATCCATAACTACTCCGGCGGTAATGCAAAGATGAGCGGAATTGAAGAGCTTAATTCGGATTAATGTTTTTTCTAACAGTCTTAATAAATAAATATTATTAAAAATCGGTTGTTTTCTTTTCTCAAACTTAGTAAATAAACTTTATTACAAAAAATTTCATGTTTTTTCTCATTTAATCTTAGTAAATAAATTTTATTAAATAATTTTTTTTTGCTCACTACCTATTTCGTTCGTATTGACAGCTATGACGTCACAATATGGCGTCCAGTCGGTCCTATTTTTAGTTGAATCGCATTATAGTTTCTTGATTTTATCCAATATCCATCGATTTTTGAATATTTTTACAATGCAAGAGCGTTTTTAGTGAGCCATTTTGAAAAAAATTGATCCATTCTTGAATATCTAATGGGTCCCGACTGTTAAAGTGGGTTCGTTCTTTACTTAACAGAATTATAACAGATAGTACAGTGCATGCCGGGTATCTCGGACAAGCAGCAGCTGGGCAGGTGGTAGCCAAGGAGAAACGGGAGAATCTTGTCATTGAATTTAATCAGGCTTTGGATCACATTTCCGAATGGGGTACCAGGAACTTGGTTGTGTTTAATGCCAAGAAAACTCAGGCTTGCACTTTCATGGCAAAAATATCGCCATTCCTTCCCCTTTCCTCTCTTCAGGGCACAACACTGGCGCTACAGAGCAACATTACCATGCTCGGTATGGAAGTTTTTTACGCAGGTCAACTGTGCTTGTTGTACAAAACGCAAGTGCTGTCCTGCGTGGAATATTGCTCGCACCTGTGCGATGACTCCGCCAAGTACTTGCTCGATGCTTTGGATAGGTTACAGCGGCGCGCGATCCGCATCATAGGCGATGAGGAGGTGACTCAACACCTCGAGCCTTTTCAAGTACGCCGTGACGTGGCGTCACTAAGCGCGTTCTGTCGTCTGCACTACGGCGAGTATTCTGAGGAGTTATTCTCTCTTATTCCACCTTCCCCTTTCCTTCAGAGGACCACGCGCGCTGGCCTACGTTGTCACCGTCTAACTGTGGCCACAATTCCAATGCGTACAAAGAAATTTGGTGACTTCTTTCTTTGTCGCACTATCCGTAAATGTATATGCAATGACATGGGATCCCTTAAAAGAGGCGTGAAGAAGCAACATGCATGCCAGTAGGGTTAGGATGGCTGGTGTGGCAGGTAGAACTGCTGTATCAGCTATCTTCGCGTCTGGACTTCACCTTCACTTAACATCGGGTGGGGTGGAGTCATTTGTCGTACCTATGTATAAAAAAAAATATGGACTACTGGACTTGGTTTTTTCTTTTCAGTTTTTATTTGAAGTAATATTTAAGAGGTTGGGTTTTTCGCTTTTTTAAATTTAACCTTTTTGGAGTTTATTCCTTAAGAATCGATTTGCAATCTATCGATGAATGACCACGTTACGTTTTTGGTGCGCATCCTGTTCGAGCCAAAATGACTCTTAAATCAATGAATCTAAAATAGGTGCAATAGAATTAAATTGAAACTACAGTGTATTTTGTTAGACCATAGATTTCTTTATTAGTTAGGTGACGTTTTGCCTATATGTAGCTCCAAACATATTTACAAGCATGATGCAACGAACTACAGCGCCATCTATTTTGATACATATGAACTAAAATTTTAAATGCACAAGTAATGGCGTATACATAATCGCCCACCAAGGACAAACTGAGATTTGTCCTTACAAATATTTAACTTAACAACATGACTCTGTTATCATGACTTAAGGTAGGTAACAAAACAAATAAAAACACTAAGATGTACAATAACTTAAAATAATATATTTATGCACATCTGAAATTGACTATTGTAAAAAGTTTAATGTAAAATATTTCGTCGACTAGTTATAATAAATGTATATGAAATGAATAAATATATATTTATATATGTATATTATTTTCATTAATTTGTTAATTTACCCTTTCATACAGTATCAATCTTTTTTAAGTTAAATAAACTCTTTTTGCGTCTGGTTAGACTATCGAACTTAAGGAGTAAACTTTGTGTTTACTTGTGTTAAACTTTTTATGTGTGTATTCAAATAGTTGGTAAAATTGGTGTTCAGTATGTGTGCAATGCACGTTCGTAATATCCAATATAAATAATCAATCAAGCGCTCATTAATTTTTTCAGGAATTATCTGAGAAACTCACCGTGGTGACTGGTGATCAAAAGGCTGGCAGCTACCTTGGTCAACGGATCAGCTTTGCTATCCACAACGAGGAAATGCTGCCAGCCTATTGGGCACCATTCCTGACGGCGGCACAGCGGGTGATATATTTTACATTTTTTGAATTTGTGTTTATTGAAGTACTAAAGTTTTAAGATAATTCTTTTTTTAAATTTTTAGAAATTAAGTAGTTTTATACTTTTGTAATTTAAATATTTCTATGTAAATAACTAAATAAAATATAGAGATAGTAATCAATTAAAACTTAAATGTCATTTGTTCTTCTACTAAATTAAATTGAACCTGTAATTTAATAATGAATAGAACATAGAGAAACCCAGACACAATATGTCGTTACAAGTTGTACCTACTCGTCATGATAGATGAAGCTTGTTGTAAGCACTTAATCTTCTCTCGGGCTCCTTGTATTTTGAATAATCTAAGTCGTATCGTATTGTGATCTCTTGAGGCATGCATCGTTGCATTTCTTTGTTTAGTATACGGATTGTGAATAAGTCGTATTAGGGTGAATTTCACAGACATAGATAACGCGAGTACCTATGTTAAAACTACGCGCGCCAAAAACAAGAAAAGCTAAGCTCATTCATAAAAAAAACTTTCTGCCATTTAAACCGTATAAACGGTAGAATTGAAACAAAAATCTTGGTAGGTGTAGGTTGCTTAATGCATAAGACACTCATTCCAGCCGGATTCTCTAAAATCAAAACTAAAGGCAGTGATCTTTCCTTTTCATTCTTTGTAGTCACTAGCACATTCTAAAACTATTAATTAAGTTGGTAAGTACATTTATTCATTCGTTAAAGAATTAAGTAAATTAAAAAAAAATTAGTCAGGAGAAATGACATAGGATAGATGTGATGTCATTGCTGCTGTTTCAAAACAATAGCGACTCACCGATTAACATAACCAATTACATTTTATATCCCTTAATGAATCTATTTCCGTTAAGAGGTTTACAGAAACACGTGTTTCTCATGAGCCGAGAATTATTATTTACTCTGTTCTTGCTCATGGAAGTGTGGTAAACCAACTGGTACATATATTATAACGGAATAATATATAGCTTCCTATTTACTTGCATGAAATATGTTTTCACAATAACAGTCAAAATGAGGTATTTCGTTCGTCTACATAATGCCCATAGGTTCATTTAATATTTTATTAAAGCTGTACTCACGCTGGCTGTTATTTTTATACTTCGGCTAGCTTGTACCTGTGTAGTTTAAATTATTCAAACTCCTTAGGAACATTTCTGTTTTGTGCGAATTCGTCACGCGTTTTCGCAAATACGGTTTTATTGCTATTTTAGGGTATTTATTTTAAGAATTTCTTCTAGCTGATGCCTGCTTCCCCTTCTGTGTAAAATTATTGGTTCATTATACAAATTGTATCACCTAAGTATATCAATCCGTTAAAATTTAATTTAGCTTCAATATGTAGCAAATGTTTTTCCCCTTGGTCCCAATTACGTATATCGAAGGGACATTTCGCTCCTCCGCTTTGCACATAGAAGTTTTGACCAGGGCTCACTTAACAAAAATCTGAAGAATGGTTTAGCACAAGTTGTTAGCCCTAAACTAAAAATGTATTTTTAGTTATTCATCAGCCACTCCAAAACGGGGGACTAACTCTGAACTAAGTAAATAAAAATTCAAAATGAACAACTTCTAACTTCTTTTGTTTAAAGACAATGAGGCAAGTCCGTAGGTAGGATTCAGTAATTTCAAATGAAACGAAAGCTATCAATTCAATATAATATACTTACATCACAAAAATAGTTTATTGAATCGTCATCTGGTCAATCACAGCATATTCGTATGATTATCTTTAAATATACCTAATTACATTATCCTGTTTTAGATACCTATCATTCTATAAAATGCTAATATAAAAACAAGTTACGAGTATATTATCTACATAAACATTCAGCTGTGTTTTCTCTTAAGAGTTTTAAAGTTTGGGTCGCTTGTATGATAATGTATATACCTACATTAGGAAGATCATATACCTAATAAGTTTTTATTAATATACATAGAACTTACATAGAATTTTGTTTATTCAGGCGATAAGAGACCAATAGTAATACTATTTACATAGGCAATAACAAGTATACATTGTATTCGAGTATTCGTTTCCATCGTTTTAAAGTCACAATATCCTTAGGAGTATTTGGTGGGTTTTTGTAGCTATAGTCATTAATTAGGACTAGCGAACTAAGAGAACATGTTGGGATCTCTTGGAACCAATGGGAAACGACGATAGGTCTATCTCATCCATGGGGTAGTCAGGTTTGTATCTCTTCTTGTCGAGTCCGGAGCTGTAGAAAAAAGAAACAAAGTCATGAGTTTAAGCTTTTAATATTTCTGATCAACCCCTGTTTGACATTTTTTTTTGTTTTGCCCTCATAATATTGTAGTTTTATTCTTACAATATTGGTCATATTGTAACGCCCCACTTTAAGTATATTTTGATAATACATTCAGTATACAAAATGTTATTATTGTTTTGTTAGAAAATATTGTAAATCAATCGTTTAATGTTAGAAAAGAAATTAGACAACAAAAAGAATTAGACAATCTAGAGAACAGGTCATACAAAAAGCATTAGATTTCTCGCGTCTTAGAGTGCGGATTTGCAGAGTAAGATATGTTAAGTGTTTTATCTCTAATTTACTTTCTTTATAAAAACAGCTTATGGTTACCGTTGCCTTATGCAACGCCGTAGAAATAATGCGTTTCTGCATATTCACTCAGAGTGTAGGGCATCACTGACATTTCCAAGTAACTACAATCCAAATCGTTAGGCATAATGGAATCCAGTAACAAGCAGGGGTCAAACAAGTAAGCAGCGGCGGTATCAGTAGGCAAATAGTGGTCGAGAAAAAACGGCAGAACAAGACGAGTAGTAGTAAACCTCAACCCTATTGATTTTTTATCTGGGGCTACATTAAAGAAATTGCGTACGCCAGAGAAGTTTCGAGTGAAGAAGAACTGAGAGCGAAAATTCGCGATGCTGAAACCACTGTGAAAAATAACCGTGAAACTTTTAGGCACCTAAAACATAATTTTTTGCGCAGATATAGATTGTGTATTTCTGTGGGAGGGCGAAATTTTGAATAATTGCTTTAAATAAATGTATTTTGTTAACAATTAACTGCGTTTTACTCAAATCCATAAAATAATATTTTTTTTTCAAATAAAATAAAATAATTATTTTTTTTCCTTTGAAAATGCCTTAATTTACTTTGAAGGTCAGTTACAGAAAATAAACCCCCCTTAACACTATCTTTATTTGGCCTTGTTTTAAAGTTTAATGTCTCAGGAAGTTTCAAAAAGCACTTTCAACTCCAAATGCCCCATTTACATTTTTTTTGATACTTTGAAAATTTGTGTGTACTGAGCTCAAATCGTAATTTTGAACTTTCGAACAAATTCTAAGTGAATTCTGTAATGCCTAGATAAACCATAAGTTTTAGGGCGCTAGGTTAGACTATGTTAGTCAATTATCACAAAAAAACTGAACCAGAAACGTCCAACAGAATGAGAAAAAATCGAAAACTGATGTTAGGTGAAAATTACGAAAAAAATCATTAAAAATATTATAACTCGAAAACTACGCAAAATCGTAGAACATACATGGGGGTGATTTGGATACTCCTCATCATAAGGTATCTAAATTTTACGCTTCAACGTCAACTCCCCGGCCACCCTGTATACAACGATGGTCAGAAGTAAAATCACGAGTTAAATTACCACTGAATAAATAAAACTAGTAAGTTTCGTCGCTCCATGTACAACTTCATAAACTTTTGCAACTAAATTGGCACATTACGGTTCACTTCACCGATGGACGGTACTCAATTTCTTTCATTATAGTAAATTTTCGGATAGTTACCATTAAAATGTAATACTTTTATAAGAGGTGAGAGAGAGACGTTGATGGAACATTTGTTAGGTATGGAATACAGTGGAAGAAGTTGGGTCCGGTACTATTATTGATAAGTGGTTAAAGCAGATTTTCCATTAAAAGGCAATTGAATTGAGAATATGTTATTCTAAAATGCAACCTCTTTAGAATGGCTAGTTATTATGGTGTAAAGAAATAGCCTGTCGTCAGTTTTCTAATTTCGATGGCGTATGGCGAGGCCTAAAAGGACTCGTTATATCCCAGAAGGTGCAGTTAGTATTTTTTTATGATCAATCGTTTCCCCGAACGCCCATAAACAAAACAAATTACTCACACAATAATTAACTAATACGCTTTTAACTTCTCGAAAATGTTTTCGTGTTTATGTGCACCGTAGAAAATACATATTCTTAAGACAGCTCGTAAGGTGTACGTCAATAGAAATAGCCTATGTACTACATAAATAAAAGTTATAAATCAGTTCCTCGTTCAAGGTTGAGACATATTTAGTAGGATAAGGCGGAATAGAGGAGGTTTTGCACTACACAGTCAAAACATATTTTTGACACAGTACAATATTATTATCAGGGGCGTATTTATGTTAGGGCCAAGAGGGCCATGGCCCCGGGTAGCAGGCTACGAGAGGTGGCTACAAGAACTACGAGGGGCAGCTACAAGAGCTACGAGGGGTGACTACAAGAGTTACGAGGGGCGGCTACAGGAGCTACTACAAGAGCTATACTACGAAAGGCGGCTATAAGAGCTACGTGAGGTGGCTACAAGAGCTACGTTGGGAGGCTACAAGAGTTATGAGCGACGGCTACAGGAGCTACGAGGGGCGGCTATAAGAGCTACGTGAGGTGGCTACAAGAGCTACGTGGGGCGGCTACAAGAGCTACGTGGGGCGGTTACAAGAGTTATAAGGGACGGCTACAGGAGCTACGAGGGGCGGCTACAAGAGCTACGTGAGGTGGCTACAAGATCTACGTAGGGCGTCTATAAGAGCTACGCGAGGTGGCTACAAGATCTACGTAGGGCGGCTATAAGAGCTACGTGAGGTGGCTACAGGAGCTACGAGGGGCGGCTACAAGAGCTACGTGGGGCGCCTACAAGAGCTACGTGAGGTGGCTACAAGAGCTACGTGGGGCGGCTACAAGAGTTATGAGGTACGGCTACAGGAGCTACGAGGGGCGGCTACAAGAGCTACGTGAGGTGGCTACAAGAGCTACGTGAGGCGGCTACAAGTGCTACGTGGGGCGGCAAAAGCCAAATGAAGCATTTGTTAGGACCTATGTTTTGATTTGATTACTGATTCTAGGGGAGAGGAGTGCAAATCGTAAATGGCTCGGGACTGCAAATGAATAAAATATTCTTAAGTAAACTATAAGGGTATCATTCACTCATACCTAACCAATGCATTATGAGGCGTCGATGACGTATGAGTAAAGAGTATATAAAGGGATGTTAATGCTTTTTCAAGGATTTTTTTTTATTTCAAACTGCAGTCATTGATGATAAATGACTTGAAGATATAAGTGCAATTACACCTTAATGACGCTACACTTGGCATTGCTTAGATCAATTGTAGGGTGTTCTATGCAGAGAGCTATAGAAACTAATCAATGCATATAATATATAGATATATGCGAACAAACAATCTTGTCTAATATTTGTGCTCATCACACAAATTCATGCTACCGGGCTTAGAACTTGACTTGGCTCAGTTATATTTTTCTTCTATTCTCAATCCTGCATGAAAACTCATTATAGTTGTAAAAACAAAACTTACACAGCTGTGTCCAAGAAATTAGTTCCGTAATAGTGATTGGAGCGTTTGTGAAGGGGGAACGGAAGCCAAGTGTGATCGATTTCATCGAAGTTCCTCTTGCGCACGAAATTGTTCAACCCCGACCTGGCGAAAAAGGTGTTTGGTGAAAATATTTCTTTACACAACGATAGACATACAGCTGTTTACCGATATGGTGCATTTACCTATTGCTAGCATACAATTATAAATCTATTCTATGAACTATATTAGCACCATAATTGTAGCCACACGTGGAACGAGTATATGCTTGCTTGGTGCACAAGTATAGGTACTTTTTTTTTAATGCTCAATAGGCAAGGCGTTTGACCATAATCTAGCCTGATGGAAAGCGATGATGAGGCCTAAGTTGGTACACGCCTGCCTAGAAGATGCCTGTTCACGTCACGAAGATGTCCAGATTATATTGGTCCGGGAATACATCCTACCTACTTAAAACGTGTCTTGGATTTTTTTCGCAAACTTCGTGCGGTGTAGATTAAACACATAAAATTTACTTTTGCTAACACATTGTTATTCTAATTAAACTATTTAATATATAGTCATCCACTGCTCATTAAAAAGTTTAATTAGAACAGTTGTCAAGGTTAATTTAAATTTGTCTTGGGATAAGATGGATGCTTTGTAGTGATAGGGGGAGGTCTGAGGGATTCGAGCCCGAGCTGGAAATCCTTTCAATGCAGAAATATATTACTATATAATTAACTGGTTTGATGACTTCCAACCACCGGAACCGGCTGGGTTTCGGAGCGGATACGGCACCATAGACCACATCCACACAGTGCGGCAGATTATACAAAAGACTGAGGAGTACAATAAGCCCTTGTGCCTAGCATTTGTGGACTATGAGAAGGCCTTTGACTCGATTGAAATCTGGTCTGTCCTGAAGTCCCTGCAGCGTTGCCAAGTCGACTGGCGATACATCCAAGTGATAAGATGCCTCTACGAAGCCGCCACCATGTCTGTCCAAGTACAGAATCAGCAAACAAGTCCCATACCGTTGCATCGTGGAGTGAGACAAGGGGACGTTATTTCCCCGAAATTGTTCACTAATGCAATGGAGGATATGTTCAAGACGCTGAACTGGAAACGATATGGCATCAACATAAATGGCGAACGCATCTCTCACTTGCGATTTGCAGACGACATCGTCATCATGGCAGAAACCCTGCAGGACCTACAACAGATGCTGAATGACCTGGCTGACTCTTCTATACGCATCGGCCTACGGATGAACTTGGATAAAACCAAGGTCATGTTCAATGAACATGTTCTACCGGAACCGATTGCAATACACGGTGCCGTTCTCGAAGTTGTTCAAAAATATGTATACCTCGGGCAGATATTGCAGTTAGGTAGAAACAACTTTGAGGACGAGGTGAATAGAAGAGTTCAGCTAGGTTGGGCAGCGTTTGGGAAGCTACATCAAGTCCTGACATCGTCGATCCCACAGTGCCTAAAGACGAAAGTCTTCAATCAGTGCGTCCTACCTGTGATGACATACGGAGCCGAGACGTGGACACTGACGGCACGGCTGATCCACAGGTTCAAAGTCGCTCAACGCGCTATGGAAAGGGCTATGCTCGGCGTTTCTCTGAAAGATCGCATCAGAAATGAGGTAATCCGACAGAGAACCAGAGTTATCGACATAGCCCACCGGATTAGCAAGTTGAAGTGGCAGTGGGCTGGCCATATTTGCCGAAGAACCGATAACCGTTGGGGTAGACGAGTTCTGGAGTGGAGACCGCGTCTAGGCAAACGTAGTGTAGGACGTCCTCAGGCACGATGGAGTGACGATTTGCGCAAGGTGGCTGGCAGGAGCTGGATGCGAGTAGCCCAAGATCGATCTGAGTGGCGTGCATTTGGAGAGGCCTATGTCCAGCAGTGGACTATGATAGGCTGTTGATGATACTGATGATGATAATTAACTAGTAGATGCCCGCGACATAGTTTGCATGGAAAAATTTATATCCCATACAAAATTTCACCTCCATTTCACCCCCTTCAAGGCTGATTTCTGGGATAAAAACTATCATATTTCCTTTTCCGGGATTCAAACTATTTCTATACCAAATTTCATCGGTTTTTAGCGTAAGGAGGTAAGATACAGACAGACACATTCGCATTTATAATATTGGTATGGTTTGTAGCCACCATCAGTAAGATAGAGGATATTAGACTCGGCGGGTGTTTTGATTGGAGAGGAAAATCTGCCATACCCCGCTCTGTTTTGGTCAAATGTAAATAGTACATGAGTATTTATAATAGTAAAAGTCGCAACAATTTCATACTCTGTTAAAGTCGAACAAACTCAGCATTAGATGAAGAATTTTCATTTATTTACCTAGTAGGTACACTCAAAAACAAATAAAAATGGATTAATTCAGATTTTTTTTAATTTTTGCATTTTGTGAAAACATTTATGAATATAACTTGAAATTATCGATATTTGATTTCAAAATATAGGTAGTTTAAATCAGCTTAGAATAATTTAAAATATTGTTAAATAACTGCTGCAAATTAAAGTTTAAACGTTATTTATTGAATTTCTACTATGAAGGATAAAAATTCTTTAATCATTTCGGACAAATTCACAAAGAATAAACGTACTGTCACACACCACGCAAGCACAGTGCGGATTTGGTTGATATTTAGCATATTAACTACATAATATATTTTATTAAATTATAATCATACGACTTACAGATCAATTTCATCAAAGTTGCGTTTAAGATATCCCACTTCGTTGTAACCGTTAAATTTGCGCGATGGCCACTGCTCCCTTTTCCCGTTGACGCCGATGTTTGATGAACTAAATCAGAAAAAATAACACAAATGAAACTGAAGCAATTTGGCCTTGGTATACATAGTTATTTTTTTTAAACATTTAACTGATTTATCTAAAGACAATTTTACTAGAAAAAAAATCACGCGGACCCGGCATCTGACGGGACTCGAACCCACACCCTTCGCTATCCTGGCGAATGTACTGATCATTATGCTACCGCAACCCTGATGGCCATGTCGATTTTTCTCTAGCCTTTTTTAGGCAGCAAAGCTGCGCCATATCTTCACATTGTAGGTAACCCACAATATGTATATCCCACCAAAAACATATTCATGTAAAATGTTGCCAAGAAGAGACCATTATGAGTCACACTGTCAGAGAGCTATCTCTTAAAGAGACAACCTTCTATCTGTACACGCCCTAACTCTACAAGGCCTATCTTCACAAACAACACCTTAGTCAAAATATGTGGCGTGGCCGTTTCATTACTACACGAACTATTGTATGAGGATAAATTGTTCACCTTACGTCCATGTGAATTTAGCGAATGGCTAAGCCACATATTTTGACTAAGGAGTAAAGTTTATGAAGTTAGGCCTTGTAGAGGTAGGGTTCTATTAGTATTGCGCGGCCAGTATACTAGGTGTCGCAACATCGTCCGCACTCCCAACGCGCATTGTGGGGACTGCGGTCCACAGAAAGCGGCCGGGTGCAGGAGTATTGTCTGGTTTTTACCGGGTAGGGCCCTCTGTAATTACAACGAGCTTGTGAGCTGGGTGAAATGACAGGGACGAGTCCACGAAACCCTTTCATACATGCTACCCGGTGTTCAAAGATTACAGTCACGAATGTTCCAGATATGAGAAAAGGGTTATATTAGTATAGATTCTGCTTACCTTGCATGGTCGTGTCTTCTTGTCATCAGATATGGTAACAGACTAAAATATGGTTGCGTTTCTCGAACTTCTCTCACTATGCTGGTGCTGCTCTCATTGTCCATGTCTTGAGTTTTTTCACCTATGACCACACAATGTCCTATTTTAGGTAAAACATTAATTCACCGTTCACTAAATAATACTCTCTACTTTATAGTACCGACTACTTACCTGTCATATTTGCTAGAATGAATAAATAAAAATGTTACAACTTTTGCAGCTTTTTTTATACCTACATATGTGTAGTTTCTTTCTTTAACATGCATTAATACTTATGAAATATCATCGTATCTTCCGAGAAGCGTCCTCGCAATAGTTTTAAAACTATTAGGTGTAGTATGGGCCTCGATTATTCCAGAGTATCTTGGACAGTTTTCTAACGACACGGGTCCAAGTAAATGTCATTACTCTATAAGTTAAAAGTGATGTGTTCCATTTATTCCTCCTATGTTATCAATCGTTATGTGTATTTCTCTTCGAAAGAGCTTTCGATAAATTATTATCGACGTGAAAACAATGCTCAATTAAACTGGAAAATAAATGAAAAAGGGGAATAATAATTCATAAACATTACAATTGCTAGGTATTTATTTCAAATTATCCATCTATGCATAAGAAAGAGATATTATAATGAATTTACATAATTATTTAAGGTATCACATTCAATATGTTTTAAACAAAAAAATAAAGAACTTTTACATAATTTAAACCAAATTTCCTCCGCCAATAGAGTCTAACTCACGAACAAAGTTACCGCCTCCCAATGAATCCAAATGTTTTTTGACTAGGTTCGGTCCTCCGATGTTATCCAAATTTTTCTTGACGAAATTTCCTCCTCCTATAGAATCCAGGTTACGAACAAAATTACCGCCACCGAGAGAGTCAACGAACCTGCTGTACCTCTTATCTCCCTCAGTGTCTCTACCCAATAAGGAGGATCCACCGATCCCGTTTACATTTCTTCCTAGATGAGTAGTACCACCGATACCGTTTAAGTTTCTCCCCAGTAAGGATGATCCACCGATTCCCGCTAAATTCCTTCCTAATAGTGTTGTGCCTCCAAGTCCTCCGAGGTTACGGCCTAACATGGATGTTCCTCCGAGACCACCTACGTTTCTTGCTCCTAACATGGATGAGCCACCGATGCCAGCGAGGTTTCTTCCTAGTAAGGTGCTGCCGCCGATTCCAACCAGGTTCCTTTGATTCTCATAATTCAATAGAAACCTCAGAAAATCTTCATACTCTTCTTTTTGTTGCAATGCTGGAACAATTTTAACTTATTTATAGACAAAGTATCGCTGGGTAAAGCATGTATTACGAAATACACTTACCAGGGTGCAGAGAGAACTTGTGAAAGTGCATTAGAATCACGTGACCATTGGTTGTGCAGAGAATAATTCTGGCAAGAGTGCATCACCAAATAAAATATAATGTGTAGTAGGTAAATAGTTTACATTACATGTTTTGTGCTAATGTGTAGACAAGTTTAAAGGAGGTGTAAAGTGCGATCAGAATAAAAGTAATATCGGTTCTATTGAAGTAGTTTTCGTTATTCTTAAGCACTCACCGGCATCGTATCGTCCTGACGAGTGGTCACCGTCGTACCCTTCGGAGTCCTGGGCAAATAAATAATGACATTTATAGCAGTAACATAGAAGTATCGTAAAAGGTTGTATCGTAAAAAATTGCTGATGTGTTAGTAAGTTTAAAGAATATTCAAGACCTCCAAAGGTGAAAATTTGAGTGCACTGGTCTAAACGGCATCGTCATCTCTGAACTCTATAAACCTTAAAATCCATATAGTTTCAAATGCATATGGTGATTTGGTTGAATAACACAAGAACACGTGCATATACACATCTTAGAATAACAGTAAAAGTGATGTTTGGGATGTATTTCTAATTTATTGTTATTTGTAATGAAAACAAATATTCGCGTGCCTATCCCAATATAATCTTTTTCCGTAAACATCAATGAAATTTTAATAGTGATTTTAATTGTATTATGAATGCAATTCCATTAGGCTTTACTCAATAAATAATGAATTTTGAAGTTTATTACACAAGTACCGCCTTGGGAATACATGAATATTGTTTTCCCCTAAAGTTGGATAAGGTATCTAGCTTCTTCGAAATTCACGCAGTTCGTCTGCAGTGAAGAAGATGGTAAACTGAATAAATTGAAGGCAATATCAGTAATTTTGCAACCAATTTAGAACGAGTATTAGATGTTTGATTGGGAGCTTAACTTGTTATTATATTTGTCACTGGGAACCGGAACGAAATCTTCAATTTCATTAATATTCCGATAACTTACAGATGTCAATTTTGTTCAAATACTTATAAAGAAAAGCCTTCGCTCACTGGCTATGACAAATATTGCACCCATTAGAACAGATTTAGTTGGTGCAGTAGCTGTGGATCTGATATGACTGTAGGGATTATAATTTCGTATCCTGTAGATGTAAGTACTTTTAATTTTGTTTTTGCTTCATTTTACACCTCATTATTCAGTCTTTAAAAGTCTGTCTTATTGGTGTGACTTCTGAACAAAATATTTACTCGGATGCGGTTAACCTCACGGATAATTTATATGTTGTCCCCTCATCATATAAATGGGGCAGGTAGGCAAAGCAGTTCCGTTATTTCAAAGGGCAACGAAAGTGAATGAATTAAAAATTAAGTAAATCTGTTTTTTGGGTTAAGATCGTCGTTATATGTAATAGTAATGTATATCATATAACTGTCTTCTTGTTTTGGGTTTTAAATATGTTATCGAAGACTATAATACCGTGAATTTTGAGTAACTTGAGAAAAAATATTAAGGTATTCAGACAACGATTTTGGTTATAATTTCCACAAAAAAAAGTATTTTTTTTTCGAAAAGTGTCTCCACGTTAATTCAATTATTGTGTTATTATAAACCTAAACAACTTTTAGGTTGACATAAATTCATTCAGATAAAATTACTTTTAGGATCTACCTAATTTTAACGGTTAATAATTCTATATATTTTTTAGAAATATGCACCGTTTATAGGGTATTTTGTAAACGTTTTTTGTATATTTTTTTTGTATCGGGGTGTCGTACTCACTATTTTTATTTACTTATATTACGATTTTTGACTTTCTTAGGTAACTCAACATTCATGGTGCATATTTATATGAAGGTATTATTTTGTGATGTTTTAAACTAGCGATTGAATGTTTTCCCCGAAGATCCTTATTTGATTAACAGAAAAATACTATCTCAAATATTGAGAATATTCTCCTAAATTGATCGAACCTTACAGATAGTGTCATCATATAAGCCAGTACACAAGTCATTTGCCCACGGATATATTTATTTTGTGTATATTTTTTAGATCAAGAGAGATAGGGCATAGCGGATTTCCCGCTCGAATTGGAGCGCAGTAAAATAACACAACCTTTTTGGTGGTGTTGTGTTTCTGTCGGTGAATAATGTTCCAGGGCCCCGCGGGGTAGGGGATTGGGACAGGGTAGGCAATGTAGCGAGTGATATTTTTTGCATCACAAGCGTCTATAGGTTATGATAGTCGCTTACCATCAGGCGGGCCATATGCTTGTTTGCTACCCTTTTAAAATAAAATAAAAGTTACCTGTAGCGAATCAGCGGTGCAGCAAACTAGCAGTGCTGTCACAGCCAGCGCAAAGGCACCACTGCTTTGGAGCATTATTGGACCTGCAAAAACTTTTAAGTGTCATTTGAAGGTATAAGATCATTGTTGGTCATTCCTCAGAGTAATTCGAAATCTTTTCGAAGTACATCAGGGGCCGTATCCAAGTGGGCACCTTTCTTTTTATTTCAATTTGGAATTGAAGCGCTGGTCTGGGGAAGTAACCTCCACCTTTTTTGCAAATAGGCTATGGTGGCCGCTTGCCATGAGGCGGGCAATACGCTCGTTTGCCACCCTTTTAATATAAAAAAATACAAAAAGAATCAAAATAGAATCAGAATAGGGAAACTTTATTATCATGTATCTTTAATTTCCTAAAAATCCTAATTTTGTTTAATGCATTCTACGTTGCACAAATAGCTATGACTTTCATTTATATAAAATTTAATGAACTCAAACCGATATCGATACATTGAAACCTCATTTCGTTTATATATTCAATCGTACACGTGCAATCGATTTTATTATTATCCCGTTATCCAATTGATTGTGGTTTCATTGAAAGATAAATATAGCATGTCAATTTTGTACGTACGTATCGCATTTCACGGAAATAAACATAGGGTAACCCTATTTTTACCAACACGTGACAATCATATAATAGCTACTGGATAGCATTCTAAGTCTATTTCATAAGTTTCTCTACCTTCCAATATAAATACATTATATTTAGTAGGATGTTAGTTTTTAAATCAATTAATGTTTTTCCTTCTTTCACTGCATAGGTTTCTTTATTTATAGTATTGCTTTGCTGGGGTGACAAAACATCGAAGGCATAATATGACAAATAAAATGTAAACTATGCAACTGTTTTAATACTCGTACATGAAGACTCAAAAAACCGACCAAGTGTGAGTTGAATTCACACACAGGAATGTTTCCGTACCGAAATAAATAATTTTAAATACAGCGTCTGTTAAGGTCGCTCAAAATCAGGTTTCTTATAAGTGGACCGACTCCCTTAACATAAAGCCTTAGAGGCCTTCTAGGGATAGGAGAGAAAAACAAGTTTATTCTATTTTTTTGTTATTGCATGGCTACAATAGAACCATAATAGGCGAATCCCGCTAAAAGATTTACAGCGATGGTTCCGTTTTCACCATTTAGTGTTGTGAAACGGTACGTGGTCGTTTACTATAGGTCACATAATACAATACAAAAGAAGGCTCATGATAGCATAGCGGGCAACGAAGAGAAACCCGATCCCGATTCTCGGTATTTCTCTGCGTAAGAGAATCAGAAATGAGGAAATTCGCAGGAAAATCAACATCGTTCGAAGGATTGCTCAGGTGTAGTGGACACAATAGTTAAAAGAACCGATGGCCGTTGGGGTGGAACGGTTTTCGAAAGGCGCTTGGTGGGCAGGCCCCCACGAGGTGTACCTACGATCAATTAAAGGTCGCGGGATACCGCTGAATACGGACACCACAGGACTTAAATATTTATCGTAATAAAAGTTATTAATTTTTAAATTAATAAAGTATTATGATTTTAGCATCTTGATAGAGCAGATTTTTTTTCATTTAACTGATATATTTTTATATCTAGTGACAATTATACTGCCGTACCGGCTGACCGGTCTTAGATGGATATCTCTCGAGTTCCTCCGTACTTCAGAGGGCATGTCAAGCCGATGGTCCCGACTGCATCAGAATCGCTTTGAAAGCAATATGATAGCCAATGCATCTAAAAATTTAGTTTTAGGAATCGGAAGGCATTTTGGATAAGGTCTAGGGGTATAATTGAGCAAATTATATCCCTGATATAATTAAGTACTCCGAAAACTCATCAACCCTTTCAATACTTGCATCAATTAATGCTTTCATGCCGCGATTAACAGTAACAAAAGAGGAATGCGACTTTAAAAAAAAAACAGTAAAAACAAAGTTTGTCCAGTTTACTAAATGCACAAACTTTGTTACAAAATATAAGCGATAGCCACGAGTTGTCACTACGGAGGAATGCTTACGACTAACAGTATTTTGTTGAGTATGAGACCTTTGATACGGAGCAGTTATACGAGCATCGCCACGCTGACAATAGAACGGAAGACAGATGTTACTCAAGGCCATGCGACTAAATGAAAATAGGGGCGGAGTTTTTGACGTTCATTTATATTCTAAGAATTTTATAATTTGTATGTATAAGACATAGGGACTCATATGTTTACTCGTATAACGGTTCAAAAATGTATATAAAAGTACATTAACGTGCATATTACGTATAAAAGATTTTTTTCAATTCTTTCAATCGCTATATCACTGAAATGGCAATACTTATGAAAAAAAGTGTGGATACATTTTTTTGTAGAGAATTGGATGATCTACAATTTTTGTCTGAACTATTTTTGCTGTTAAACTCACCGCTTAGCTGAAAAACTCGAAAAACCTATTTTTGCAAACTTTCACCATCATTAAAAAAAATTGCACATGGGGGATTGATGGGGACTTTTCACAATTCCTTTATATTAGTATTCTGAACATTCATACCAATTTTTAGCTCTATGGGAATTTTTGTAACCTTCAAAGTCTTATTTAACTGCACTACAGATTGAGTTTTGGTGTTTATGCAAGTTGCTATTACCTAAGATTAGACCATATATTCGTTTAAAACCCCAGATATGACACTGGTTTGGACTTTGACTAAGACGTCAGCCGTAGGATTTTACAGTGCTACGAAGTTTGCATATAATATTGATTTTTGTTATAATTTTAATACACGTAATACAAAATAATATTCATATTTTGAACTTTTATTTTATTAAATATGATATATGCCAATTTAAATGGATAAAAATTCCCTTTATCTATTCAGGTATCCTACTAATATTATAAATGTGAAAGTTTGTAAGTTTTTCTTTGTATGTTTGTTACTCAATCACACAAAAATGTCTAAACGGATTTAAATGAAATTTTACACACATACAACTTATAAACTGGAAAAAAACATAGTATACTTATTATCCTGGAAAAGTGTTAGTGTTAGTGTTAACTGAGGGATTTTCGAAAAACTAAAGTTACCACGGACGAAGTCACAAGCAGCGGCTAGTATTTTATAAAGTAGACTAAAAGGTGCGTATAATGAAAGTGTAGTTTTTTTTTATACACACAAATTAGTCTAGCCCCCCAAGTAAGCACTGTAAGGCTTGTGTTATGGGATACTAGGGTAGCGGATAGAATACATATGCAGTACATATATAAGTACACATGTATTTATAAGGAAATTCATATTAAACATCCATGACTGGAGTGCCAATGCTCGTATTTATCACATAAACATCTGCCCCCACCGGGATTCGAATCCGGGACCTCTCGAGTCGGCGACACCATAAAACCCGGCGTACAAACCGCTCGACCACGGAGGTCGTCATTATATTATGATAAATTAAATTAACAATGTAGTTATATTTTATTTTCACTCATCTCAGTTTTATTTTACTAAAAGCTCGCCATAAATCGCAGGTATTTGTCCGGTAGGTACGTAATGTAACATTTTTACCGACTTCAAAATTACGAGGTTCTTGATTGGGTTGATTTTTTATATATTTTTTCACTCACCTGTGGTTGAGCTGCGGCGAGAGAATATGTTGTTAGGCGGGCTGCGGCGAGCTGTGCCGATTTGGCCGAGACGTGAGCTTTTATACACGTTGGGCGGACGGAACGTACAAGCGCCGCCCTCACGCTTATCACTTGGCTACTTTAACATATTAAACACATGCAGTTTTGAGAGATTTTTTGATAAAGCTTTATCACTTTAGGTATGAAACGCATGCAGTTTTTAAAAGTTCCTTTTATGAAGCTTTATCACTATAGGTACTTTGCATTTACGAGGGTTTTTTTTTTATAAAACTCATATCACTATTTTGGACTATTGTGATCATGATTGGGTGATTACAAAATATTGTCATAGTTTTAAGTGTCTTTACTCATTGATGAAATTTTAAAAATACACCGTGAATTTTGAGTTACCTGAGAAACTTTACCAGCTAATTCAGACAAAGATTTAGATTATATTTTCGCATAAAACATTTTCTTTATGAAATTATTTTTTCGAAAAAGGTCTCTACGTTAACTCACTATTTCTGCAATTATGAAACCTTAACAATTTTGATTGTTATAATATGATTCAAATAGAACTACTTTACTATATCTGCATACTTTAACCGGATAATATCTCCATAACAGGTATGTTTTTTTACAAATACGTGTCGTTTTACGATATAAATCAATATTTTTGTATGGGGATGAAGTTTTCTGTTTATAACTGTTCGCACATGTTAATTTACACGATTTTTAAGTTTCTCGGGTAACTCATAAGTCACGGTGTATATTAGATTTATTATTTTTTATATAGCATTGATATTGTTAGTTTATAACTTCCGTTATACAATTTTACATAAATAAAAATCAATAAAATTGCGGTTTGTTTAAATGACTTCAGAAGATTTGGCTAACTCTTTTTTTGTGTTCGTGATCGTTAAGGTAAGTCATATCGAGGTTGTATGTATATCTTTTTAAGCCCTTTTTTATTTACTACTGCAGTACATTGCACTTTCTTAAGTAATGGCAAGATATCAGTTAAGTATTATACGCAAACGAACTAGCTCACTTAAGAACGGTACCCTTAGCACGGAGCATTATTGATTTCGAATAGTTTACGAGTTCGAAATGTCAATGTCAAATTTTGTATGGAAAACTACCAGCGCTAAAACAGACGTAACGAGAACTAAAAATAAGTACAAATTTGACAAAGACATTTCGCATTCGAAAAGTATTCGAATTCGATATTGGTTCATGCTAGGGGTATGGGTACTAGCTTGTAATTATTAAATTGAAGTAATTAATCCAAACCCTTTAATTCAGATATAATAATCAGTAGGCTAAAAAGCCATGAAAAGGTCAAGCAGAAAGTAATTGGTTCAAATATTTTCAGTTAAAAACATATCAATTATTAGTAATTATAAATCCCGATAGCTATTACTGTCGTATCGGTACCAGTATTAACTGTGTTGAAGGCAAAGGGTATTGACCACAAATACGTTTTGGCATATTTGAAAAAGGCAGGATATTTTATAGGGATTTTTCTTTGGCTATCACACGAAGTTGTTGAATGGGAGTTAATAAGACGTCAAGTTAGCTCTATTAAAACTTATAAAACTTTTAAAAACTTTCTCCTTATTGCTTTTATTAATATTTTCTAAAAGGATAAAATTCTAGTGTCATTTAACCATGGAAGGTATAATAATTCGTTTGCGTAAAAAATTTTGGTTACCCACACAAACTTTCGTTCGCCTTTTCACCCATTTAAGAGGGGAGGCGGGCAATGTTTTTTCCATTCAAACGTTCTCGACTGATTCCTTCTTAATTTTTATCACTAAAGAGTTGATTTTCATACATTAAATACTAATAATAGTTTTACTCATTCTATGCTCCCATGTCTTCTTTTTTTTCGATAACTTGTTTTTCAAAGAAACTAGAAGCCCACAAAAATGAAAAAAATAAACAATTTTTTATTTATTTATTTATTTTCATTTGGGAAACATACAGTTTTACACACTTCAATTAAATAACACTTATTACTTTTTCATAAACCAGTTAAGTTTCCACAGACTGAACATTCATACACTTACATAATTTACTTAAGATTACGTACAATATTTAGAGTTAGTGAATATATTAACCATGACAATCAAAATTTATGGTAAGAAAATAATTACTTAGTGTTAGGGTAAAACGACCTTATAGCATTCATTTCTAAATTGATTGTAAGAAAGGCTAAATATATCCAATCCCCTGAAGTATTTATTATAGCTGTGACATGCTCTAGAAATGAAACTATTATTACCATTAAAGACGTCTAGTGTGGAGATTTAACACTAGACGTAATAAAAAAATAAGCATTTAGAAAAAGGCAAAACATTAGGGGCATAGTATAACTACTTATTATTTATTATTCTATGGGTAAAATTTCTTTTATACTTATATCTAATTTACGAGGAGGAAATCGGCGAAAGCCATTCCTCGAATTTTTATATACAATTTTCATCGTAATCGTTGTCCCTATCGCACGGTATTTGCCAATGCGTGACAGCAATAGTTTTTTAAATTTCTCGCAAGTCTCGCAGCTCATGTCCGCTCTTGAAGGTTGATTTCTAAGATAAACCTTTCCTTTGTACTTTCCCGGGAGTCCAACTATGTGTATACCAAAATCCAACTAAATCAGTTCAGCGATTTTAGCATTCAGAGGTACCACACAGACAGACAGGTACACTTTTGCATTTATAAAATAGCGGCCGCCCGCGACTTCTTCCACGTTAACTCTGGTTTTTGAGAATCCCACAGGAACTAATTTTTTTCCGAGATAAAAAGGGATAGGGATATTTTCCTATGTTTTGTTCCAGGTCATCAGATGATAATTAAATATATGCGTGCCAAATTTCATCCAAATCCATTCAGTAGTTTTTTCGTGATTGAGTAACAAACATACAAACTTACACATTAATATTAGTAGGATTAGTATGGATTTAAATACTGGATAAACTGAAAATAAGTATCGCGTAATATGATACTTCACGAGGAGTTACCTTTCTCTAGTCTGTGACTATGACAATTGTAAATCGAAGACGCTAACCACTTGGCGCTATTGAGTTTTAAATAAGACGAGATTTTTACAATAGACTTGAAATACAGCCATTGTTAAAGATCGAACAAATATACTTAAAATCACGATCACGGCTGTTGTTAAGGTAGCATCTTTAATTCTTTATATGTAGATTCGATTTTTCTTATTTTTTTGTTGTAGCGACAATGTAAATAGGTACGCAATCTGTGAAAATTTCAACGCATCTTGAGATATGGCCCGCTGATAGGCAGCTAAACAGTGGAGAATAAGTAATGGGATTCCGAAATATTATGATTTTAATAAAAAAAAACCACAGCTTTTCTACAAAAAATATTATTGTTAGTTCTTTATAGGTAAAGTGACGTGAGAATTGTAAGCATTTTTGGGAGATAAATAGTTTAAAATTTGAAGAAAATTTTATTGTTAAACTTGCGTTAACCACATATTTATTTACTACCAAGATACTTAAAAATGATTTTTGTATTTATTTAAACCAATAAAGAAATTTTAATTTTAATATAATATCGGATTTGGTCGACGTACTACCACAAATTTATTCAAAATTTCGTTCTTTGATTAACCAAATTGTAATATCATTTAATAAATATAAGTAAAGCAAAATACCAATCTTATTAGTCGATATTACTCCGAATACCTCATCTAATTTTCAATTTTGTGTACAAAGGAATTTCTTTGAAACCGGACTATATCTCAAGAATCTGTTGAAAGGATGATAATTATGATAAAGGTCTACTATTCATATTTGTCGCTGATTTGAAACACGCTCAACATAATACTACCTAGTTAAGGTTGAATGTTGTTTCGCAGAATTGTCATAATAGTTTTCAAGGAAATCTTCCGAAAGCAGCTTTCTGTATGATATTATAAGATAAAATAAATAATTACTCAAAGGTTTGCCTTTGTGCATTATATTTAGGTAAAAATTTTGAAATTGGATTTCTGAATCGTATTTAAAAATTTGTCATTGTAACTATTATTAACGTCATGGATAATCCGATACTGCTACAAATATCACTGGCATTGCTACGAATATCTCTGCCGATGCTACGAAATAAATACTTACCCACTCAATATTAATTGTAGCCACCAATGTTTTTTAACATTTAACAACATTCATACTGTATGTGTAATGTGTATATGCAATCGGAACTGTAAAAAAATATCGAATAGATAAAAATATTTTAAAGATATTGTTATTTTAATTTATTTACATTTCATATGAAAGATTGTTTAGATTTTGTTCAAAAAATAAAGGTTTTTATTTCATTAAAACAAATCCCACAAGCTATGTTATTCTTTAATTAAAATCTTTCATATAATTATGTACTCTTTCTACAATTAATTTTAAGACATAAAATTCTCAATATTAAGTTCGAAATAGATTAGGATAATTTGTCACTTATTGGTTTGTCTACCAAGGACACGGCTCCAAACATTAAATACTTTGTTTTATTACTAAATAAAGTTTGGGCAGCACCACAGTTATTGTCATATGATACTGGATCGTCAATATTTCTCTGATGGCGACCGTACAAAGAAATAACAATTGTAAATACTCCTGTGACCTCAATACTTATTCATCCTGCTCGTTTGTGCAGCTGTTGAAATGCATTGCTATTGACAAGTGGGGGAATATTTTTACACTGAGGCTGCTCTCTGTGTTACTACAAAACGATGAAGACTGTCATCGGCGGAAGACTGCAACGAACACTATAATTGAATTACTTTATCATATTGACTGGCGGTTGTGAGTTCGTAAGCATAGAATTATAGGTACCTATTCAAATGAGGTAACAAAACTTGAAACTTTAAAGTTTCATTACGTATTTTACCAATTTGGATTTTATTTTTAACCTGCTTCAGGTTCTCAATTCGTCATATAGACACGTACTCATAGGTTTGTCATAACATAAAATTAGAAGAATAAATGTTCTCACATTAATTTCGTTAATTTTGTGTAGCGTTTCCGCCCTTTTTTCCCACAGCTGAAAAACTCAATAGCTGAAGCGTTTTTTGTAATATAACATTAATTTGAATAATAATATTTTGATTTTTTTTTCGGCATTAGTTGTTGTGGTTACAAGTTAATTAAAGCGTATAATAATTCCATATCATTTCAGAAACCTAAAGCCCGTTTTCCACTGTCAAAGAGGAATGAACTAGGGATGTCTAGCGGAGCGGTCTTCGTGTAAATAAAAAGGATCGTTTATCCACTGAGAAAGAGTTCCAAACTAACTAGCTCATTTTTACTCTTTTTGCCCTCTTTGTGATTTTAGTTCGACTCTTTGTTGGTACGACAGATTCATGCATTTTGTATTACGAGGTAAACGGAGTCATTAATGGGCTCGCTCCACTCGTGATGGAAAGCCCCCTTTATAACCGTTGGCTCGGTATCAGTATGTGAGGAAGTTTAGTGGGGAATGGTGGAATAGAAAAATCTTTATAGTACAAAATAAAATCTCCTTTTTACCCGGTAACTCCTTCTTAGGCGTCTTTTTCAACGGATCGTTTCGATTTCGTTTCTGTACCCACTCTGTACAGATTCTTTACCGCGAACCACTTCTTGACTGGTTTAGTTTCGGTGTGGTATCGTTTCGTTTGCTACGGTGTTTGTCGTTTGTTATAATGCCGTCATGTCTGGCAGGCAAGCCGAATGGTTTGTTAGGATTCGGTACAGAGAGGTGTGTAGTGTTTGCAATGACTTCATTTAGATTTGGGACTGCGAATTCTGCATTCGAAGAAGTCGAGAAACTAACTTTGGTTTAAAAAAAACTTTAGTTTTCAATTCCAACCTAAAGAAATAAATTGGAGAAAAACATTAGGTAAAAAAGACTACGGCTATGAATCGCTTTATTCACATACAGTCAGGTAGCAATCGACGTAAGTGGTGAAATGCAATTACTATGAATGAAGGCCCATATCCGGCGGTTTCACGAGTAATTTATGCGATATGTGACGTCCCCGTAAAGTGATTTTACCGTCTATAAATTCTTAAGTACAATGTTTCATGAAAGATGATATTATTCAGACTAGAGAAAGTTAAAAGAAATTACTTTACTGTAGGTACAGTTACTGTAACGGTACGTATAAAGGAATTTAATTTATAAAATTTAATAATACCATCTAGCTTAAGTACTTTTTGTCACAAATTTGAATATTAATGTGGTGTCATTCTTATTCCTTAACTATAAGTGCTAATCCATCACGTAGAAAATTAAGTGTATCATCTCGGGTGGTATAATTTGCATCCCACTGTCAACCGTGGTTATTTTTTTCCCATTTGCAAGTCTTTGAGTGTTCTGGTATGCAAAGCGCGATAATCTCATCTTTATTAACAAAGAGATGAGTATTTTACTTTAAGAGCTCAAATAACATTAAATGTTGAGACTAAATGAATGCAATGATGTTTTCTGGATAAATAATGTAATATTTATTTGATGCTCGATTTGCCAATTGTGAAAAATAACAATTCATACAATATTCACTGTCGGCATTGGTTGGTTAGTTAAATGTATGCTGTCTTTATGAATAATAAATGGCCCTACAATGTTTTGTTATTAAAACTTCTGAAACGCATTTAAAGTTTTGAAATGGGGGAAAAGCACTGACCTCTCGTGACCTTCACGCTTAGATCCATATAATACAAATGTAGTTTTATAAATAATAACATTATATATAAAAAATATTATTTAT